GTGGAATAAATATTGAAATTGCCAGAAAAGCAAACTTTCAAGGCACTCTCTCAATATGCTACAAAGCAAAAACTTTTTCAAGACAGACGGCACTTGCGATTTTGAAGTTTCTGCGCCTGACCAGAGCTAATTTTCCCCGCCGGTTAATTATTCAAATGGATAAGTAATCTCCCATTTGGTTGGCAGTCCTTCGGAGTTATACTTTTCTGAAGATTACTGGGAAGTGGGCTCTATTCTGCATGGAGCACCAGTTTTAAGTACCTTTTTGCCGAGGATTTTACACTGATCCACCTTAGCAATTCCCAGTAAAGTTGACTTGAAACAAAGGCAGGGCCAGGCACAGAGTTCGATGTTCTGTTTTCGGTACTTAGCATTGAAGTGCTTTCCGGTGCAATTGTTCGCAAATGCGTGGAGGCTGAACTTTTTGCGGTCCTTGGCCATTGACCAGATGCTGCTCTATCGATTTTATTCCCTTTATGATGGGCGCTTACCTGCCAGGGATTATGGATGGCTCTTTGGCCGGAACTTAATGGAGATGAAACCAAATTGTATGTTGAGCCCTTTAATTGGCGGCCAGAATACCTAATTTTCAGAATACAACATTGTTTTTAAGTTGAGTATAATCATTCGATAGTAATCAGAAGCAATAAGCAGCTAAGGTGTAAGTAATGCCAAATAAATATAGATCTAGATATGCTAAATCGCACTTATTCATTTCTCGATTTTTATTATCTCTGTTGCAAAAAGCTAACATTTATGAAGCAAACAATATTGTTGAGGTGTCACAAACAACCGGCGGCGTTAACAAAAATCCAAAAAATCCAAAAATACACGAAATGAGAGATGGCCGCAAAAATTATGCGCAGGAAAATATTTTGATAGAGGCATTAAACTCAGTGCCGCAAAGATAGAGCAAAAAGTGAAATCGAAACGCCCGAGGGCATATAAAATGCACACAACTCGCACTGGAAAACACACTCGTTTATCATATGAATTATTCAATTGAAGCAAAAGCAACCGCTGCATTTGGCAGCCGAGAGAATTTTTCAGGTGGCTACTTTTTCCCTTTTTTCCACCGGCCCTCGATCTTTCGGCGGCGTGCCAAATGTGGAGACCCGATAATGACGCGGATGATGAACGCCTGCCACAGCCACATACCCATCAGAAGTGGTTTTCGCATTCAAGTGGCCTTGGCGGTGATTTAACTGCTCACCGACCGAGTGAAATGTAAATTCAACTTCGACTTGCCATGGAACCAAGGAGATCGAATCGGAAACTGGCATTGGCGAATCCATTGACCAATCCACTTTAAAAAAGGAACCGCGAGTGTAATTAATGTTGTATGAAGTAGCACAGAATCCGTTCATCGGGCTGTAAATCTAGGCTGTAAATCGCCTTGACAGATGCTCATTGAGGGTTGGTTGAAAAAAAATATATATTAAGGTTTTCGTAAGATTACCAAAATAAAATATATCATATTTCAAGTTGAATGATTTGATTCTTTATTACTCGCAGCCATTTTTGGTCAAAAGTGATTCAAATTTGCAAAATCAACGTATTATCGGCAACTTAGTTTTCAATGACCTATTCAATTAAAAAAAACTGCTCTACAATGGCTATAGTGCCATCATACCCATCAAAACGTGCCAAATTGACCGCAGCCACAATTAATTTAGCACTCTTTCTGCTCCTTTCGCACATGCGGTTTCTAATTAAGTGTTGCCGATACTCGGAAAGTGCAATTTCACACACAAGCACACACACACTAATGCTCAATGGGCAAACCAGCTCCAACGCCAGATGGCGCTAATGAACTTCCGCTGTCAAATGAAACGCTTGCCATGCAAATCGCACCATTTTCAATAATTGAAGACGCCTGCCACCGCATTGTTATTATCATTTTCATTTTGTGCTTCCGCCACTCGACTGTTTTTACTTCTCCTTGGCTCATTCGAACTTTTTGTCATTCTTTTTGTGCGGGGGAGTTCCGCACATGATTCACATCCGTTTAACGCCATTTTCTTCTCGATGGCCCCGGAAAGTAGGCAACAGTTTTTTCTTCGTTTCGCCTGTGTTGACGTTCATTTGCTTCTTCTTTCGGTTGAAGCCGGCAAATTGCTCGCATTTAAATGCAAAAATTGTCGGCACGTCTAGGTGTTCATGATGTCCCACCTGTCCCAACACCTTTGCCCCACCACCAATTTCTTACCCTCCTTTTGGCCCCCGGAAAATTTACTGCTGCGCGTGCGTTTTCATTTGCTTTTACTGTCTTCGGTCTATCTTTCATTTTGCTTTGCATTCTCTCGCTCTTTTTATTTTATTTATTTGCCCAAGATTTATGTCACATGCAGGAAGGCAGGCCTGTCGTAATATTTTCGCACGAACACACACGCACACACCTGTGGGTCACATACGCAACCGAGACGTGTTTGTGTGCGTGCGCGTTATGAATATGTATGTGTTCATTATGAAACGAGTGGATGGGGATGGGGCTGAACGGAGTTTTTACAACACCGGAAATGTTCCACAACTTTGGACTGGCATATGAATTATATTTTAATCATCCAGCGAGGTTCTGTCGGCGTTTTCACATTTGCATTGTAAAGGCTATAAAAAAGGGGGACAGAAGATCTAAGCTTTTGAGTTTATTGAACTCTGCGAATGATGACATAGTGCAGGAGAGGTAGTCAAAGAATAGGCCATTTTTTAAATAATAAATACTAGCTAACAGATATTTTAATTACGGTTCTATATTCTATAGGCGCTTTTTATACACAAATATCCAAAGCTCGCTAAAAAAAAGAAAAATTACCAAATTTCAGAAACAATTTCATTTAATGATAATTAAAATTCCACTAATAAATTAAATACGAAAGTACTCTAATGAATTGCAGGTAAGTAGTTGATATTTAATGGCAATGGCAAATGATTTTGCATATGGAAAGTGTCATAAAATTTGCCAAATGAAATGTTGAAATTGGAAAATTTACGCCAAACTGCGCTTGCAAATTGAGAATTGCCATGGGCCGGGACTCAATTGCCTTGTATCGCAGTGAAGTGAAGTGCTTTGGGCCCGGCCCCATTTGCCAGCGGGTCCTGTCACATATTCAGCGAGTTTCCCATGGCCAATTCCAGTCCGCTTGTGCTATGCGTTACGTCCGATTTAATCTGCCGTCGGAGCCCTAACAACATGGCCAACAATTAAGCCGTGCGTGCAAATGCTGTGCAAATTTCCTATTTATCGGTGCCTCTATTGCCAGCCATTGTTGCTCGATGGCGAAAAGGACTCGATGCATTTGGTCCTTTTTCAGAACCGCAGACATCCGAAAGTATAGAATCGATACCGCTCATGGGTCGCCATAGCTTTTAATTCAAAACACCAGTGTGCTAATTTGCTTTCGATGTTTCGTAGCAATAATGCCTAATTAGTAAGCCCCTACAAAGTGGCACAAATTTTGCATCTATGAGCGGGTTACTATGTGGGTCATTGGCTTTCGGATTCATCCTTAATCTCTTCCATTTCCTGATTGAAGTCAAATGGCAAGCGCAGGCGAACTTAATGAAATGCCAGCAGTAAACTAACAAGCAAACTAGAGTGGCAGAAGGCAACATGAGAGCAGGAAAAGCGCATTTAGCCAGTGAAGCAGAAGAAAAGCAAGTAAACGCTGAATGAGGCAAAGGGAAAAGCGTTCTTCTTTCAGGGTTCTTGTGCTTATGAATAGCTCACCTGTTGTATAAATTTGCCAACATATACTCGTAGGAGGGAAAATCTTAATGAATTGAGCATGTTTATCTTCCGCACGTATTTAAGACTCCCAATCTTCTTTAAAACAGTACATTTACACATAAATCTTTAGATTAAACCATTTTCCTAACCGGATAACAATATATTACCACTTGCCTTAACGGAAATTAATGCATTCCGAAATATCCTCAAGCACTATATCAATTAGTTTTATTAAGGAATTCGTCGTGACAGCAAAACCGCCATAAATCATTATGCAAAATAAATTATAACTGCCTTATTGGACCATAATGATAGCAACCGGAATTATCAAGAAGATTCGAAATATCTGGCTAATAACATTGCATTTAATTTTTCACTCACAGCCTATGAACATTTTGGCTGAGCTCCAATTTCGAAAAAAACAAATTGTAATTAGCAAGTCTTAAAACATACGCAAAAATATAAAGTTCTCTAAAAAGTTCTAGTTAATTTGCATTCTGTGTTTTGGCATTCTGGGGTAATATATCAAAACAAATGAAAAAAACTGATATAGTTTTCTGGTATGGTTATCATCAACAGCGCACTATCAAGGTTTTTTTCATTTATTTGTGTTATAATTCGGTTATAAAATGTGTGGTAGTAAAAGCCATTGTTAAACATACAAAGTTCCTACACTCTTATTACCTTTAAAACATTCCCAATCATTAGTTCCCTTCAGTTAAACCCTAACCAACTTCTCAGCAAGCTGACCTTCCTGACATCGCAAATTGCAGCTCATCGTCGTTGTTGGCCATGGCTCACTGACTTTTAAACCAATATGGAAAGAAAAATACAAATGAAAATAAAGTAACGAACTTGTAGCATGCAGTACAAACAAGTGAACAATAAAACCACTTAAAGTGCAAGCAGCAGAAAATTTCCCTCAAAACCCGAGAGCCATCCAGACACCCACATATAAAAACTAACACGCAGAACAGTGGAAGCAGGAGAAGGACTGGCAGGATACTGTGAAGTAGTTAGAGCAACAAACAGGAGTAGTCAGAGTGTCTGTCCTATATAAAAAGCAAAATAATTGGCGTGTCAGACATTTTGTTACGCCCAATTTAAGTGCTTCCTTGTTGGACACTAAAAAATGCCTTTTTTGCGAGAAGTGCGATGCTGAAGGCAATCTCCTTAAAATAAATGCTTTTCAAGTAACTGTAAGCGTAAAATATAATTTACTGTAAGCATAAAATATAATTTAACAGTATAACATTTATGTGTAAGCAAAAAATATAATTTATCTCAGAAATATTCAAATGAATAATCCTCGTATACGTCAGAGCTTATACTATCGGTTCGGGAACAAACCGATGAATCTGTACCGGGAAATCCTTCAGAATTCGTGGCGTACTCTGTGGCAGATTCTGCAGTGGAATCTTTAACGGATTCCGTTTCGGAATCACCGCCAGAACTTGTGGAGTTCGCGGAAGAACTTGCGCTGGAATCTTCAGGGGAATCTGCAGGCGAGTCTGCAGGTGAATCTGCAGGCGAATCTGCAGGCGAATCCGCAGGCGAATCTGCAGCTGAATTTGCTGGCAAATCTGCTGGGCAATCTACTGCAGTACTGTGAACAGACCCTTCGTCGCAATCCGTGAAGGAATCCGTTGTGGAGGTTGTAGAGGATTCCTGAGATGGATCATCAGAAGAATCCGAATCGGAATCAGTATTCCACTTAACAGGCTTAGCAATTCTACTGACAGACGATCTATAAGAGGTATTTTTCTTTGCCAAATCGGTCTTAGGTTGCGATTTGGTTACACCCATAACATTCATAGCAGAATCCAAATCTTCGGGAGAGTCTGTTCCTCTCGCAGCAAAGCTATCATCTCCGGCAAAGCTTCGCGTTCTAGTCTTGCTTATCTTATTGGCGCTATAATAACTCTCATCACTATTAGTTGAGTCCAAGTCTTCAGGGTAGGAATCGTCATATTTGGCTTTTATAAATATCTTAGAGTCAAAATGGGATTGCTCCTCCAAATCATCTGGGTCATTATTCGATGTCGATGGTTCGTTTATCGTCGTTTCATCACCATCATCATTTTCTTCCGAGGAGAATTTATCCGTATGTTCCATAGGTTCCACCATTATCAGTCGAGCTATAAAACTATCAGGTGAGTTTTGGATTCGCCGCAGATAGCTGACAAATACTTTAGGGGAGAAATCGAAGCCACCGTTTACATTGAGAAAGTGTACATAAGGACACTTTGGATCCCGAATCCACCTGCGATTGGCGCTTCCCAAATATTCTGATACGAAGCTGTCCATAAAATTTTCGTGCTGCCGCAGCATACCATTGTGTAGATGGTGGCATAGGAAATCCGCAAGTTCTTCTTCCAGATCTATGAGATGGTGCGTCCATTGGAGAAGAAATGCGGGTGGCATCATATGGAATCTCACCAAGCCCAAGACACGAGGAATGTACTTTTTGCGTATCTGATAGTTTGATATTAGCCAGAGCAGAGCTGAATAAAAAATCTGTATTAGATAAATACATTAGATAGATAAAATATAATACAAAGAACGGGTATTGAAGAATATGAAGGAAAATTTCACGCAATTCAAATCATTTCAAGATAAACAAATTTATTATATATAGAAAATATTAAATAATATGCTTCACAACCAAAAATTTAAATATTTTTGGCTTGTATTACGTTTTTGAATAAGTACATATTGTTTTTTAATATTTTTTAGAATTACTCAAATTGAATAGTTTGCAAATTAAAATAAAGACTCAGTACCTTTCATACCTCAATCTCGGTTTGTACAGCCAAGTAGCTCGAACTCAGCAGAGTGCACACGCAATCGACATCCAGCTTAAGGAATTGTCCATTGGACACCAGGACCAGGAAGCACTTGCTCACCCTGGACAGCATCATGTCGGCAACTTGGGTAATACCCATATCTCTCGCCTTCAAAAAGCATCTAAATGCAGTCAACTCGGAGTGGATTCTGTGGTCGTTAAGGTACTCAAAGATGCGCTTGATCAAGGGAATGCACTGCAAAAATGTCCCAACGTCTAGGAAGTCCAAGATCTTATCTCGTGGGCAATATACCTTCTTACTAGTCATCCAGGCATAGGCCAATTCAAAGAATTCATTGCTCATTGAGTCCCTGGGAAACTTGACTACGTCACCCATTTTAAGGTTGTTCACGAACCCCTTGCAGTAGAGGCGAAGTATGAACACTTGGCACTTGTAGACTGTATCGCCAACTATTACATAGGCATGGGGACCAATATTTCTTTCAAGGGCGAGATTCAGTTTCTTCAGCAGGGGAATCTTCCTGTGGAACGCAATGTGACTGAAGCGCAGGTGTGGCATATGATGCCTCCATCTATCAGACATGAACTCGTACTGAATTGACGTGTGCTCCTCTTCGCAATCCTGATCTTTTGTTGTCCCAACTGGCTCGGGTGAATCCATTATGTGGAGTAAAGTTTAATTCTAGAAAATATATAAAATCATAGAAACAATATGAAATGGTGAAATACTTGAAAGTGTTAGAAAGGGAGAACTGATGATATTTAAGGTTTAATATCTGTATTTTTTACGACAATGACAGCACAAATTGGAATTGCTTAGTGGTAAACCATTCTCGCAAATACTTATATGAATATTTTAATAATGTCATTGACATGCCATCAATATTCATAGGTGAGACTAAGGAATTCTTACAAATTAATCAAGTGCATTCAGTTGGCATATTGACAATGTCCCTACATTTATTTTCGTTCACTAAATGCTGCCGTGCGGTCGCTGCTCGATTAAATTAAAATTCATTAATTTGCCATATTAAAATGACATTAATTAAATACCAAAACGAATAACTGGTGAGTTGGTGCATTTATATGTTAATAGTCATTCGATGGGGAGTAATAAATGCAAGTCACTCGAACAACAAAACCTCGACGTAAATCACCATTCTTGCATGCTTAATTTAATCAGCAGTTCAATCGCAATCAATCTTTTATTGAAATACACAGCCCGCACATAAAGCGAAAAATACATGTATTTTCTTTTATTTTCAGTGTAATCCTTTTGCCGCGAATGGTTTTCATACAATTTTTTAAGCAGCGAAACAGTTTCTAATATTTGCCCAAACCTCGTTTAACCTCGTTCAAAAAAACAAACTAGCAGCTTGGTAAGAGCCGCTTTGCATGTCTCCGCAACATTTAGCATACACCGGCATATAATTACACACACACACACATACACGCACACACAAGCACACACACACTCGTATACGAAAACACAATATGTCGCTGCAACTCTGCGCACTTCCGCTTAAAACCTTTTACTTCCGGCTGACAGGACTCGAAAAAACGTACACAACTAGCCCGAAATAGCCAAACTTTATCCGTACATTGCATGTGCCACGCAAATGCAAATTTTATATACCCACTTGCAATCGTCTTTTTGCCAAGGCTCTTCTCGATTTAAATTTGGTTAATATTAAATGCCGTGAAAGTGTGCAACACAGATACTAAAGCCGACTGCCTCTGTTGCGGATCGTGGCATCAGTGGGGCATTATCGTCGTGTAAGTTATGGCGTCAAAAAGCAATCAATTTTTAATTTTGCGTTTAATTAAAAATGCAGCCGGGGCGCAATTAAAATTATCCCCTGCATTAAACATACGCCGTAGTCAGGAGGCACGATAAAGGCTCGATTTGGGTGTTGGCCTACTCGAAAGTTAGTCGGCGCTTAAATGACAGTAACCAAAATCTGGTTTTGTTGCAATCAATCATGGCCATGTCGGTGGGTTGATGGGTTGGTGAGTAGGTGGGCTTGTGGCTCGGTGGATTGGTGGGTCGATGTTTCATTGGTGCTCGCTCAGCATCATCGGTAATTGGAAATAGGTGGCATCGTCATCGTGATTGCGTGGTCATCGTATCCGCAGCGGCATAGACACGACCTGACACTCACAACTGATACAGCACTTTTTATATTGCGGTCAAATAATATCAGTATCACTTGTAAGTGTTAGGAAAAGACAAAAATGTATTAGGAAAGTAAGTTAACCTATCACTTCAATCATGTTTTTTACTTTAACATGATAAAAATGTAGGGCCATATTTTATTTATGTAGTAATATTCAAAATATTAATTTTTTCAATTATGATTCTGCTCAAAAAATTTGCTAAGCGCATTAGTACGAATTTAATTTTGGTCAAAGGAATTGCGAATTTCCGTTAAAAACTGCACAGTCGACACTATTTTAATGATCTCAGCTGTACATATCAACATTTATCACTCGCATACAAGCAAATGTTGCAACTGCGTCGCGGTTGCGGCCCTAAAAGTTCGCTGCGGACATGGAGCGTTCATTTCAATGGGTTTATTAGCATGCCTCAGTGGCGTATGAGTGATATTTCAATAATGAGCATTCAATAAATTGACAATAATTATCGCCGGACATCATATGACCAATTTGTGTCGCTTCCGAACAACCGACAATTGCCGCATGGTATATTCGATGAACAGTAGACATCACATATATTCAAAAGCAATTACCTTTAATACAAAAAGCGCGCACTAAAGCAATTATAATGCGGAGACTTGGAATAAATTTATTTTAATATTTTTCTGAAATTTTACAACATACACATTTGGAGTGGCAGAACATACACACTTCAGGAAATGTACAATTGAATCAGTTGAAGCAGTATCTACTGTATAAGCTTGTAAAATCGACGAGTTTTTAAACCTGATTACCCCGTCAAGATAGATTGACAAGCATTATTCAATTGATAGATAAAATCCACTGATGACAGCCGTTTGCATTTGCGTTTAGCCAGCAGATCAAAGGTGTTGACCTAGCCTTTTGTGAAATCACTTTCCATTAATTTTGTCGGCAGGGCGGCTTTGGAAAAATTTGATTATCCAATGCTGTGGGCACGTCTGCTGGCTAGAAATTACATGGACATGAAATTTAATCATTCTAATTTGTGGAATTTATGAAGTTTATTGCTCTCGCTTAATAGACACAAATGCTAACAGATTTTTTGCGCAGCAAGTGCTGGCGTTATTTCAAGTTGGCTGGCGGTAAAAAGAAAACCGTCCCATTACCCCACTTTTATGGAATGACGCAGAATTTGTAATGCTCTTTAGCCACATTCAAAATAAATATTCCTAACGCCAGTTAACAAATAAACGAAGATCTGCGTACCTTTTTAAAAATGTGTTTATCTTAAATTTTTAGCCTAGACGGTAAACTTTAAAAAGAGAGTATTTTATGCTACATTACAATGTATTTTAGTCTTTTTTTAGCTGGGAGCCAACCAACATTATTTCCTCTCCGTCGCATTTTTTGACGTTTTCCGCAGTCGTGGTTTTTCCTCTTTGACTTGCCTTAGCTTTTGTTTTCCAGCCTGGCATTATGGAGCACATGGAGCTTAGGCTGGGACCCGACTACGTGCGGAAATGTGTCTAAATTGTGTGTAAAAATTTCACCATCCCGTTTTTATTACATTTTTGCGCCCCATGGCCGCAAGTTGGGATGACACCATATGGCCTCAGCAGATAAGGCTAAGTAATTGATGGACAACGGACTAGCTATTGTAAGTGGTTCACTCAGCAGGGGCAATGGTATATTGAAAATGAATCTAGGGTTGGAGTGTTTGGAGAATTAAAATGAAAGAGCTCTTAAAGCTGTGATTATACGAATGAAAGTGGACACTTTACTGCATTGCAAGTTAGGCACGACATAAAAATAAATGTTCAAAACTCCGTATCTAAAAGCAACGTTTCCTTCGATTGCAAAAAAGTTCTATCATTTAAAACAATATAACTCCAGAACTCCGCCTTTAAAAAGTAACGAAGCATTTCCCCAAAATTGCCCCAAGACAAGATTGTTACCATGTAGTCTATAACTTTTAAACGGTTTCAAACCAAAGCCAATTATGTGCTACCTCTCCCCCACCAATATCACATAACATTTTCAATTACCATTTTGGGTGATTCGGCCAAGACCACACCCCGTCATTCCCCTCACTCGACCCCCAAAATTGGACCAAGTTTAGCTACGAAATTGAGACATGTTGTTTGAGTACATTTTGTGGTTTGGTCTCTGCCAGCAGGGCTGTGGGAATTTTCGTGTTTTGTGTATGCAATTTTAAATGCACATCGCAGCTCGGCTCAGACCAGCCCAGTTTGGTTTGTTTTGGTTCACCCGACCAATTCCCAAGACCCATGTTGCTGTAACGAGCCGCCTTTGTTTGCTAAAAACTTATCAAGGCTATGGTCAGGACTTGGCATCGGGTTGGGGAGAATCGGGTCCGAAACCCAGGGCAAACACAAAAAGCAAGTGCCTGCAATGATGATCCTGCAGTTGAATCCTGTGGTGTGGCCACCGCTCCCATTGGCCTTGTCAATTTTTATGCAGACTGTCGATTTTTGTGTGGGACGGAGTGCCTCTGGCTGAAAGTCTCTATTCCTTTGGCCATTGTCATGGGCACTGGGTCGTGTGTACTTTAAAGGTCTTGGCAGTGACTTCCACATGATTGGGCGATTCACAATCTTTTTCATATGGCCACCAATGCTGTTGTCTAAGCTGATGACTCAATTAACTGGCAAACGTGCTTTTGTAAGCTGTCAGCTGGAAAGGCTTACCCAAACTAAAGATGACCGATCACAATTAGCCCATATAATCGTTGGAATGAGCAAAAATGCTGAAAGCCCGGGATTAGGGTTTCAGTTTCTAAGAAATAAATTGGCTAGTCGATTAAAACTTAATCTCTTCTTTAAAAAAGAAGAACTCTGGCTGGTGAATTTTAATACCGAAACTTTAGCTTTCAAACTCATAGCCACACTATGTTATTTTTGCGTCAAAATGAAATATAAAAACTTTACGACTGTAAGAGACATGAATTTTGCCGCAACGCATTTTAAATATTAAAAACTTTAATCGAGGCAAGCGCTGGCATTAAATGGAACGTGCAAAATCCATGGCCAGCAAAAAGCTGTCATCGAAAGCAGGACAATAAATATGCGCTGCTCATGATTAATGATTTGCACGCACAAACGAACTAACCGAAAAAACAGCCAAAAATTCTTGGCCAACTTGAGGGCCAGGACCGAAAAAACAGGCAACAGCGACTGGGCGGGCTTTCAGTTCAGTTTGTTTGGCTTTGCGAGCAGCGTAGCGTGTATTAAGGGAATTAAAATGTTATTACATAAAACAAGGACAAGGGTCCAAACCAGCTGAAGAACGAGGAGGTGGTGTGCAAAATGCGATGGTAACGCTGTTGCCACTGATCCAGGATAACGACGTGATAATCACACTCATCACAGCCACTCAGAGCCGGCGTATGAAGGACGACAATTCCCCGACTGAAGAAACCGCCAGGTGACTTGTACATAATTCCAGCAATTTTTGCAAAGAACTTAATTTTACGCTCCTGCATTTCCCAAATGAAAAGCTGGACGTTGAACGTCGGACGGCACCCCTCGAAAACCCAAGACCCTGACAACCTTTGTCTGGCTTTAATAAGTTTGCTTAGGTTCAGCCAAAAAAGCACTGAAGCGGGCACTCAGTTGGCTTCCTTCAAATGTCCTTCCATATCCGTGCAACCCGAGGTTTTTGTCTTTCCTGGCTTCTTTTGTTTTGCATTGCAGCGAGTGCGAGAAAGTTAATGGGTCAACTGTGTGGGTTCTCTCACAAATTTAAGGAATTTCTAATTTGCTTTGGGCAAAGCTATCTGCCCATACAGGAATGCATTTTGTTAACACATTTAATCATGTTAAACAAGCTTAAAAAAATGATTTATGCTGCAATTAACAGATATAATAATTATTGATAAATTTACCTAATTTATTCGGAACCTTGCTATTTTTATTAAGTAAAATAACATATTCAAATATATGATTTACAAAAGATAAAAACCAATGTACAATCTTAATTTTCTTTTTGTTAAATATTTTAATTAATATCTTTTCAGAGCTAACCTCTATAATAAAGCACTTTTTCTAATTTTCAAATAATAATAATTGATACACAAACTAAGTTCAGCACTACGACATGCACATTTGAATTATTATAAGAGCTAAACTCTTTTAAGTTGCACTTTATCCCTTTTTATTTCAGTGAGCGAACGCAGGTAAACATTTGATATGAAAACTTCAATGTCTGAAAGTCAATAAATTAATTTGAAATTTAGGAATATTAGACGTGTTAGTAAGGAAAACTCACTGCCATATAGGTGGTAATGGATACAGGTGCCAGCTTGTAGGTTCTCCACATATAAGGTTTCGTAGCACGCATCATCAGGATGAGAAGCATCCTTCGATAAGCAAGATCGCCCTCATACCAATTGTTATAAAAGGCTGCTGGCAATACTTTGCCACTCTGAAAAAAGTAACAGATTGTTAAACATACTTGGGAAGCAAAATGACATACACTTTTTTGTTTACATCAATAAGATCTACGATAATGTGCTGTAATATATACCCATTCATAATTTGATTGTAACGCGGTATAAAAAACTTACCTTTAAAATCAAGTGCGTACCACTGCGGCACATTAAAAAATTGTATGTGATGAATAGCATAATTCCAAGCAAATGTTTTAGGGAAGTGCTAAAGTCAAAGATGGTCATAGAAAATGCCAAGAAACATGTGGATATCATGGATACCGAGAGACTTATGAGAAACGTAAAGTTAAAGCATCGATTCACTCTGTCCGCCAGATTTAGCAATTTTGTGTGATATACTATCAGATACTTTAATCGATCCTTGGCATGTGGATGACGGGCATCGATGGTCTCCAGCTGCCGGGCCAAGCCATCGAAGTGAATTTCTAGCTGGATACCAAAAAAGTTGACCATAAACTGCATAAACATGTTGACACTTATGTTTGTTTGGCAGGAAAAGATTTGACAGACGACCGCAGCGAGAAATCCAGGAATTGATCCCTTAGTCTGCCAGGGATACCAGGTACTACTCTGAATTCTATAGCTCAACTGCTGTGAGTTCGACAAATGTTCTCTAATCATGAGAAAAATTGGTAGTGAGTTGTAGTAGACAACGGCAGAGCTATGGAAAACAACCGCATTTCTTATATGACGCGTGTACTCCTCGTGATAGCGGTGTGTGCGATACGATATCTGTTTGGTTAAATGAAATAAATCCTCGAATTCGTCCAGAATGCTCTCAAAATGGGACTTAAGACTCAGCATCTTCCATAAGTTGAGCGTGCCCACAATGGTAAATCCCAGCATGCTGGCCACAGATGCCAATTCTCCTAAGTACTCAAGCGGATCTTCAGTTCTGCCGTCAACGAAATATCCGAACATGACGCATCCAATATTGTGATAAAGCAAATTTACGGCCCCAATCCAGAAGATAATGCGTTTTGCCAAGTTGGGCTTGACCTCCAAGGATCGTCTGCCATTCCACCAGTATCTGGGAAGTTGGGCAGCTTGGCACACGAGGTCCTGGTACCGCATAAAGTCCTCCAACTGCATCTGGTGCTGAATTTTTACTGGATTATGCCAATGTTATCCCAAACGTTTTAATATAATTGGACAATTGGTTGGACAATTCGTGCTGAGAACTGCCAACTGCTGCAGCTGGTAACTACAGAATTTTTGAAAGTCTTCTGGTTTAAAATTCATGATGGGAAGCCCTTGGTCGGGGTAATTTGGGTGCAAATTGTTCGAATATTTAAACACCAATTAGGTCCTTATCAAGGTGAAAGAAGGAGACCAACACAAGACTATCAGATACCCGAGGGAGTATTTTAAATTTATATGAACTAGAATACGAGTATGATTAATCTCAACATTCTAGCTTTTATAGTTCCCGAGATCTCCGGCTATTTCCTTTTAATAGATGAAAATAGGGTCCCTTGACTTTTAAAATGAACATGCTATTAATACATAAAAGAAGTTTGCTATGAAAACTTACCGCTAATGTGAAGTCAGTGCCCAAGAAGCAGATGACAAAATTGTATACGATAAAAGCAATTAGACCATTTATGGACTTAATTGCAGATTGCAAGTCCAGAAGCAAAATAGCAACACTTGTCATGCAAAGTGCAGTTGTGGAAAAGAACAAGCCGCCAAGAAAGGAAAAGTTCATTATTTCATTAAAATTATCTGCAATCTCTATAACCCGACTATGGTACGCGATAAGCCTTCTCAATTCCTGATTGGCACCAGGATGACGGGAATCCAGTTTGAGTAATTGATTTGATATAGCATCAAAGTGCAACTTCAACTGATAGGTGATAATGCAGATGATATTGTGAGTGCCCAAGGAAAAAGCCACGCCCCCAATGGAGGAGATAAGTGTGGTAAAGTGTCCAACACCGAATCCGACTGATGAACCATAGACTTTCCAAGGATACCAAGTGTTAATTTGGGTCTTATATCTCATTTCCAAGCCATCCATCAGGTTTTCGTACGCCATAGCCACAAGAGGAGCAGTGTTGTAGTATATGGTGAACATCCAAAAGTATATAAACTCGAATTTCATCAGGCAATTGGCCATTCCAAAATAGTACTGCTGGCGGTAGTTTCTATCTCTGGGTCTTGGATATAGTTCTCTTAGGTCCGTCAACAAAATCTCAATCTCAGGACGACGATTCGAGAGTACACATATATTGAAAAATCCAACTGCGACGAGCATCAGAGCACTTGTAGCCTCTGAAATTTCGGCCACGAAACTTTGGGTATCCGGTGCCTTCCGTCCAAATAAGTACCAATATATAATTACTCCAATGCATTGGTAACCCAGGCTAAAGCTTTCTAGTAAAAAGAATGCCCTTCTGAACGTTGGGTACAAATCTTTCTCTGCTGACCTTTGAGACCACTTAAATCGTGGAATCATCGCCAGCCGCAAACTCTTGTCAAAGTACTTGAAATAGTCTTCAAATTCCATTCTGCTCTAAACCGTGACTGTCATAACTGCGCAATATTGCCGACTTTTATACGCTGCAGAAATCGAATTAAGTTATTTGTAATCATCTATATTAGGGTTCCTGAGAAAATAGCAACTGCTTTACGATTTACGATTATCATATAAAGAAGTGCCCACTTGGGCGCTGCCTATAAGTATGACCTCATAATCCATCGGAATTAATAAGTGCTGATAATATTTTCCTCAAAATACCCGAAAAGTGGCTTCAGTGCCGAAGGTACTAAGTTGAAGTATAAGAAGAACATCGTATAATAAACCAATGAAATTTCATAAGGCCGTTGACCAACTTGAAAGTCCTTGAGAACCTAGTGATGGCTCATAACTTGCAGAAGGCCCCAAAGATGAGCATTAAGTTCCAGTAAACTCTGATATCGAATCAGCAATCGAATCTTTTTCCAATAACCAAGTGGCCCCATAAAAGATATCCCACATTATGACTGGAAAAAAGACAGCAGTAGAATCCTATATATCTTAGTTAACAGAGTTGCAGAAAACAGACAACTTTGCTATTTACCATTCGGCATAGTTTTAGTATAGAAGTAGTAGACTATTAAATATCTGAGATACAATTTCATACTCACAGCTGAGTTGACCTCGGTTCCCATGTAGCAGATGACGAAGTTGTAAAGGACGAAGGCCACCAGGCCACTGACATACTTGCAGGCAGATGCGAAGTCCAGCAGCAGAATAGAAACACTAGACATGCAAATAGCGATAGTAGCACCGACTAGGCTGGAGCCGAATACAAAATTCATGATGTTATTGACCTGGTCGCCCAGCTGAAGGATCCGGCAGTGGTAGGCGATCAGAATCCTTAACTCCTGATGGGCTCCGGGCTGCCGGCAATCGAGGGATACTAGCTGACTGGATATTCCATCGTAGTGCAATTTCAGTTGAAAGGAAAACAAACAGACAAGATTCTGGGTGACTATGCTGAAGCCCACGCCAACAAACGAACCCACGGTTATGCTTAGTACAGCCATGATGAACCCAATTGCCGACCCTTGGACTTTCCATGGAAACCACGTGTTGGTCTGCGTCTTGAAGCTAAGATCATATCCCTCGTGCACGTGTTCCCAAAGGAGCAGCAATACTGGCGCACTATTGTAGTAGATGTAAAATACCATGTAGAAAAGGAACTCCATTCTCATTATGGTCATGGCCAAGTCAAAGTAGTGCTGACACCGATAGTGATTTTTCTTGGATCCCGGATATATCTCCTGGAGCTTCTCGAGTAATGTTTCGATCTGATTGCGGTTTACCGTGAGCGCACATACGTTGCAGAATCCCACTAATAGCAGGGTAAGAGAACTGCACATTTCAGATAATTGTGCCACAAAGGTGGCCGTATCCGTGGCCATCCGGCCATTGCAATACCAATAGATGAGCACACCAGCAATCTGGACCATCTGGCAAATGGTTCCGAGCAGGAACACTATCCTTTGTTCCGAGGCGTACAACTTTATTTCAGTGGGACGTCCTTTCCATTGATATCTTGGTATACATGCCATCCTGCAACCCATGTCCACATACTTCATATGGTCGTGCAACTGCATCCTGCTTTCGAATATGACTGAATTGCCCGTGACAGAAAGCAGGGTCTTTTGGAGGCCAGATTTCAGAACCTAATTGAGCAATATTAAATCCATTCTTGGGAAAGCCAACTGCTGGTATAACAAGAAATCAGTGATGCCTATCTAGTGAGAAAGCGCCAAGTTTAAGGAAAGCGCTCCTTTTTAGTATTCATTCAATCAAAATTAGATTAATAAATATATTTGTATTTTTTTCAATTTTTTTCAATGTTCCAGCGAACTCAAATGCATTGCAAAATAAGCTAAGCACACATTAAACACAAAGCTTATTAAAAGCTATGACACATTTTGAAGCACACATTTGTGTTGAATTCAGCTCGCACATTATTTGTTTATTTATTCAGTTTATATTCGTGTCAAGCTCGTAATGATGATGCCTTTGAGCTGGTTAGCAGGCTTTTATGCGCTCGTCTATGGCTGCTGATATCAGCAGACAAGTGCTGCTCGTTCTGCACTCCATTTCCGGCGGAAGTCCACCCAAGGAGACATTTTTATGTGCAGACATATGTGTGTGTATACTGTGTATATGTGCTGTGCCTGCATGTTTGAGCTTGTGTATTGTACTTGGCGCTTGTTTACTTCTTTGTTTATGGGCATCCTCGTGGCACCCGCTCTTTTACGAGTCCATCCTATTGCCAGTTTTTATTGTTGCCTTTATTCTGCGGTCTACTTGGTTGCGCCTCATGTGCTCGATGCTCCTCGTGCTCCGTGCTCCGTGCTGCCTGCCGCAGGCTCCAGGATCCTGGATATGTTCGAATATGCTGCTCCTCTCGTCCAGGAGCGTTTTTGTTTGCTATTGATTTATGGTTTGGTGATTTTGCTCCTTGTGCGGATTTTCTGTTTACTGTCGACGTCTCATCAGCGTTTTGTTGCGGTAATTAAACTCTGATTGGTTTTCAATTGTTTTTATTGATTGGCACTGGCGGTTGATTTCTTTCTTTTTTTTTTCTGCTTTAATCGAGCTTCTGTTGATTCGCAATTAACCATCAAAGTCCCCGAGCGTCATCGTCGCGAACTAACTGACTTAAATTCAGTTGAAATTCCCTTTGAAAGTAGAATTTATGAAGACAAACAAAAGCAGGCAAACTTGGCAGGACTCGCGGGCGAGTACCCGGCCAATTGCCAAAGGACTCAAATCGAGCGGCAGCTGCGCGTAATGGACAATTTGAATTATCCGTCCGTCGTTCCGTTGGCGGAGGAGTGTGAGTAATAGTTTTGGCAGCCAGCGCCATTTTGGCCACGAATTTATGGAGATCCATGAGCCAAGGGCCACTACATCGCCTCCGGAGCTCTTGGCAGAAGCCTCTCCAATTCATCTCCTTCGTCCTGGCCGCTGACAAGTGCAAAAGTATAGCAAAGTTATGGGCTACCGATTCGGACAACTCGGAGCTCGGAACTCGCAACTCGCAACTGTTGGACTTATCGATTCGGCGGATCGGCCCTTTTAAACTAATTAAGTCCCAGCGAGGCAAACAACACATGCTACTAATTTGCGAAATTAACGTGTTTGTTTTGGCCGCTGTGTAAATAAATTACACCCAAAAAACACAGAGAAAAAACGCCCGGCCAAAGGTAAAGGCAATGGCCATAAATTCGCATCGAAAGCGAATTCCGAGCTGCAACTTTGGGTTGCCTTGTTTACTGCCCACAAAAAAGAATCCCCTTCTCAACTCCATGGCCTGAAATTACAGCCAAGTGGAAAATTTATGTGCAGCTCCATGGAAATTAAACGCTCCGGGCCTTTAGCTCTGGACCAGCTGCTCGGACTTCCGGTTTCCTGAGGCGCTTTCCTATTTTGACAAGGATCTATGAAAATAGTGTGAAAAATTATTGTTCAACCTCCCCCTCGCTCGCTGGGCATTCTAAACTGCTAAATTAAGATAAATGAGCACATTTAGCCGGAGGAATTTATTTGTTTTGATAAGCGTGAAACGAGTCTGCTCGGATTCGCATTTCGGGTTCGCATTTGTCCGAATAAGGGATGTCACATATAAATCTTTTGCGAAGAACATGTGTTAGAGGAGCGGCAACACTTTAATTATAAATAAAAAACGATTTTATACTCTTTGGCATCCTTTAGTTATTGATTGCTGTGAAAGTAAAAGCCAAACGAAACTGAGCAATAAAAAACCAAGTTGTAGTATTATGATTTTGCCACTTGGCCAACTTTTTTAATACGCCCGTAAAGATCAACAGCGAGAGTGGACTCGGGCCCAAATGACTTTGGCTAATAAATAAAGTTTTGCGATGCTCAGGTAAACACTTGGCATGACCCACAAAAGTTTGTGCCCAAATAAACAGAAAGCTGAAAGCAGGAGGGAGCCAAATCAGTAATAAGAGTGCTCCCAAACTCGGAAAAAGTATTTTGGCCAGAAATTGTTTGCTGATGTGGCTTAGATTTTTCCTGCAATTAGTTAACCCATAAAGAGAAAGTGTTGCATATGAAATATATGACCACAAAATGCCAACAAATTGCCCGGAGGCCAGAAACCGAAAATTTATGAGGTGCCACAGGAAAGCATTATAGGCAAACGAAATACGCTGTAACTGGGGGAACCTTACTTGTGCGGAAAAAGTAATAACATATTCTATAGATTCGCATGCGAAATAAAATAAAATTAATATTTCATGTCCTGCGTTTATGATTCTACTCAAATCATGAAATGCCGTATTATTTTCACACTTAATGACTTGGAAAGCCACTTAACTGAGACACCTTCTTGGGAGCCGTGTTTTGTTATTTGGAAATACATTCTCTGGACAACATGTTGCCCGAAATGCCTGGGCTTTATTTATATGTTGTCAGACTGGGTGGCAGCAACAAATGCAGCCGCAATAGTGGAATTACTCACACACGCTCAATCTGAAACTTGGCCAGGTGAACTCCTGGCGAAAGTGAAACTGGGTCGCAAGAAAGTTTTCGGGCCACCCACTTTCCTTTTTGGCAATGGGGGGACAACGAGATAAAATGGACACACCCAATGTGTTTTTCGTTTTACTGGGCGAGTGTGAAATAAAGTGAAGAAAATTGCTGCCTACTTTTGAGGGCCACACATGGGAAGGATGTTGGGGTTTTTCGGGGAGGGGCGAGAGATGGCCAAGCAATTTGTTAGCAGGTCGAGCAGAGACCGTCTCAGTGCAAATGTAATTTACGGCCAGACGATATACGCTGGCCCACAGAAATATTTTGGCCGGAATTTATTTGCGGCCATTTAAACAGAAATAAAACCAAATGAATTTAAAGACCCTCCTACCCAATTACCTTGAATATATTCAAGTAAATGTAACCATTCAAGCTCCCGGTTGCCATGATATTTCTTCAGGCATAATATTAATTTTTAACCATTCTAAAACCTTTCCTTGCTATTAATGAAATCTATAAATGCTTTCTCCTTTATTAATTCGTAGTCAATGGCAAAGCCGCTGGAACGGGAGCACGTGATTGTCCACTCAAAAACGTTCTGGCAAAATTGACACCCTCGTCGGCATTCTGTCGTAGAATAGGTAGTAGTTTTTCCAAGGCCTCCTTTTCGTAGTCACTCATCTGGGGAAGTGGCATATAGCGCTTGATCCCATCCTTTCCCAAGTTTAATGGACTAGCGAAGAATGGGGCATCGGTTAGTTCGGAGGCGACGAAGGCGCACTCGACGAGTTCCTCCTGTCCACCAATTGCACGCAGCAAAGAGTCCACGAAAGTGGCTGCAGCATAAGCCATCGATAGGGTGGCAGATCCTTTACCAGCTTTGGCATTGACCACTTCGGTGCCCGCCTCCTGAATGCGATTAGTCAGTTTTTGTATCTCCTGGAGATCACGTCTATATCTCGGCTGGCACTGCGAAATGAGCGGTAGAATTGTGATGCCGGCATGACCACCAATCACTGGAATGTTAACTTCATCCGGGGATATGTTCATAGAGTCGCCGATGAACTTTTTCGAACGCACCACATCCAGAGTGGTAATGCCAAAGAGTCGCCGAGGATCAAATGTTCCATGGGCCCTAAGAACCTCAGCTGCCGTGGGCACAATCATGTTGACAGGATTGGTTATGAAGGCCAGAAGAGCTCCTGGAGAGGCATTGCTAACGGCAGTGGCCACTTTCACTGCAACATTCCCATTGGCGGCCATCAGGTGATCCCTTTGCATTCCTGGCAGACGAGGCATTCCTGCGGCCACGACCACCACATCAGCTCCACTCACCGCCGGCTCCAGTTCCTGTTCCCCGGTAAAACCTACCACATTTCCCGTTTGGCTGACATGGGATAGATCTGCAGCGATACCCTTCATTTCGGTGAGATCATGCAGAGCCAGCTCGTCGATTCCAGGACAGCGACGAAGCAAAAGCGATAGCGGTTGTCCAATTCCTCCTCCGGCGCCCACAACGGCGACCTTTAAAGTGCGGACCACAACTCGCCATGCAGCTACTTTTGTCTGGCTTTTAAGACTTGTCAGTAAAAACATTTTGCTCAGAATGTAATCAAAATTGTGGGAAATTCCAACTCCTGACTTTTTAAACCAAAGCCTACTAATCAGATAAACGATTGGAAATGATATTCACTTTTAGCAAGCTTATAAGTTACCTTTTCATTCAAATTCTTGTATCGAAATACACTAAAATTTAGAAAACTAAACAAAAATTATAAAATGATAATTGCCTCTCGATTGTTAACCCATGTGGGCAAACTGCCTCCCATGGTCCAGCAGCTTGGATGCATCAACCGCGGCCTCAAGGTCTCCGTTGTGGGTTCGGTGGGTGGAATCGGCCAGCCGCTGTCTCTTCTACTCAAGCTAAATCCGGACATCGAGAAGCTATCGCTGTATGACATAAAGAACACAACCGGAGTAGGGGTAGATCTATCCCATATCAACACCCGTGCTTCGGTGTGCCCATTCGAGGGTAAGGATGGTTTAAAAAAGGCTATGGACAAGGCTGATATAGTGGTGGTACCGGCGGGCTTGCCACGTAAGCCCGGAATGAAGCGCGAAGATTTGGTGGACGTGAATGCCACCGTTGCCTGCGAAGTGGCTGTTGCGGCTAGTGAAGTTTGTCCCGGTGCCATGCTGGCCTTCATCACGAATCCCATCAATGTGATAGTGCCCATCGTGGCCACCATTCTGAAGGCAAAGGGCACATACGACCCGAATCGACTATTCGGTGTCACCAGTCTGGATGTGGTACGAGCCCAGACCTTTGTGGCGGACATCCTCAACTCCAATCCACAGAAAGTGAATATACCCGTGATCGGCGGCCACACAGGTCGCACCATCCTACCCATCCTGTCGCAGTGTGATCCTCCCTTCAACGGCACTGTCAAGGAGCGCGAGGAGTTGATCAAACACATCCAGAACGCGGGCACAGAGGTGGTTAATGCCAAGGATGGTCTGGGATCGGCCACCCTATCAATGGCTTTTGCAGCCTCTCATTTCATAAACGCATTGATCAGGGGAATCAAGGGCTCGAAGGACCAGTGCGTTGTGGAGTGCGCCTATGTGGAGTCTGATGTCACCGAGGCCCAGTTCTTTGCCACTCCTTTGGTACTGGGACCCCAGGGTATCGAGCAGAATACGGGATTGCCCGAATTAGACGACGAAGAGAGGAAAGCTCTAGACTTCATGCTGCCCATTTTGAAGGAGAGTATCGAGAAGGGTATCAAGATAGGCGAGGATATGATGAACAGTTGCGTATAGCAATGGAAATATAACGTGCATCAACAGTTTATTCAGATTTTGGTCATTTGAGTTTTGTTAAATTTCTGATGATAGAAAATGTTTAATGCAATCTTAAAAAGGCCCGAAAACGGATTCAAATTATAAGTTTTATAGCCGTAATGCTGGTAAGCTCGGGAAACCCTCAGTTTGTAACTTTTTTCTCTTTTCTTGGCTTAATGGCGGGGATCCGGGCGCGAAAGCCACACAGCTGGAACTCGGCACCAAACAGTTTCAGATTGCCATGCCATCAGCAAACTCAGCGGAGCCGCAAATCTTTGCGGTCTCGTCTTAATGGCAAAGAAATTGTGATTTATGTCTCGAGATTTGTGCATTTAGGCTGCTTGACACTAGCGTCTGTATGTATACACTTTAATATTTGAGATGTTGCACACGATGTAGTTTTGATGGTGAACCTAAGTAGTTTGGCAAGCAAACTTTGAAGGAGTTAGCAGCAAGCTCTTTTTTGGTACCCCTTATCCGGATTCCGGATCACTCATCACTTAATTAGTAGCAATTTTATTTTTCAGTCAGCCAAAGGTGCCAAATTGGATTCCCTGTTCAGCTGAATTACATTAAATGAATTGGGGTCTCGACAACTCTTGGGTTTTGGTTTTTGAGGGAGGTGCTCCAGAAGACTTCTTGCAGAAAAGTGTCTGAGTAGACAGTTTTATTGCTGTCGGCATGAAAACTTTACGCATTTTGGCTTGTAAGCCCCTAAAAGGCTTATAATGTAATTAGATTTGTCACCGCCTTTGTTTTGGCTCGACCAATGCTATTATTTTGGCACTGCCGCCACAAAGGTCACAGATTTGGAAATCTAGATTTGGGATTTAATTAATTAAAGTGCGGCATAGTAAGGCTATAGTTTAAGACTGATATAGTTACTAAATAATTTATCTTTCAGACTACTTATTAAGCTGGAGCTAACTAAATTAAATGCTAAGCAAAATGTGTAGCAGAGGCTTTACCTCTGAGCTTAAGAAGTCGCAAAACCTTTTGAACAGTACCAGTTTCGTTTGGGCCACTTTATTGTTACCAGTTTGTTGCATAGGTAGGCAATAATTTACAGAAATTATACATGACCACTTAAGTTGTCGTTAACGTTAACGACCGCCAAACCAAAAGGGAGCGGTCGAAATGTATGTCGGGGCATTATGAAATGTTTAAGAGCCCCGTCTGAGAAACGCCTTTTGCCAGTGTGTGTGCACTTTTTGCCGATGGTGGCCTCCTGTCGACGACTCCTGGAGCTGGAGCAATGGAGCAATGGAGCTAGTGGTCCTGGGTCCGGGTAATCCAAAATTAATGGGCTGTCAGTCATACTCGTGCTACAATTTTAGCCCACTTTGGGCCTGGGACGCTGCTGCAGCCACAGCTACAGCTGCGATTCCTTCTTATTGCCGTTCGTGTGCTACATCCTTTCTTTGTGTAAATTTCCGCTTTCCGTTTTCGGCAAAGTAGACCAAGAACTGCCTTAATCGAGAGCGTATGAATGCAGCCCAGATCTAAAAGGCCTGCCTAGCGATGGTGACTTGATAGCTAATGAACTCACGAAGTATAGCTATAAAATACAAATTTATTTTTCATGTATTAATTATAATAATACAAGACACCATTTCATTGAATATTTAAGAAATATATATCTAAGTATTGGGTAAAGAAAACACATTTTTTAAGTATCCACAAGCAAATATTTTAAACCTATATTTACGTGATATTCATGGCCTGATGAGTTTTCTTTGCCCATCCCTAATCCAAAGCCACAGCACTTAAGCGCCTTTCGTGTTGCGCTTTTGGCCCTCTTTTTGGCCAGGCCCAGACTGCGGTTAGAGCAGCCATCCAAGTTATTACAAGCGCAAAAATATTTTCACTTAAGTAGCTGCCACCATTTTGCTCAATTTATTTCCAACATCAAGCTCCCTCGTTCCCTTTTTTAATTTAACACACAATTTTCGTGTAATGTTTGGCTTTCAGCTCGCTGCCCTTTTGAGCAAGAACATTTCACAATCTTCGTAGGGGGAAGAACAAAAAAACGCTTCGTAATATTTAATTGAATGTTTTTCTGTTAAATGTTGTACCGACGTTTCTCCTCGGGCTGACCGTATACAAAATAAATCACGTATTCATCGTCCGCTTCCATTGGTGTCCCAACCAGAGGCATATGAAATTTCGGATGCAAAAATCTGTGCAAATTTGTTGGACACTTGACTGCTGCTCATACATGGATTTGTTTACTGTGGGTGGATGCACCTTTTTTCATGCCATTTACGGGTCAACTGAGCGGGAGTGTTCTCTTTGTCAGGGGCCATCCAAAAATATGAGGCTTCTGGGTATAAATGCAATTCAGAACACATTTTTTTGACATCGTTTTGGAATATATATGTACGTATTTTGTGTGCATTTGGCCATTTAACTATGTGTAAAAGCGTTTGCAATTTCGGTTAATTGAATTGTTTCTTTATGCAATTTTATGGCATCTGTTGGGTGCACTGTCAACTCAATGGGAATACATAATATTACAAAAGGATATTTAAAATGCACTAACACAGATTTCGTTACTTGAATTTGAGTCATATAAATATAAAAGTTTTCGATAATTAACCATTTTAACTGATCTAAATTTTATTAAACACACATTTTAACTAACGGATGTGTGAACTATGCTATAATTTATTCGAAATTACTTAGTAAGCAATTCTGTGCTGTATCAACACATATTCTAGTAACTTGTTCTTTTACCACTAGTTGCTAACGTTAGCAACTCACAATGCCTGTTGAGGCGGTAATATTCAACGCAAGTACCGTCAAGAGAAAGTGTTTAGGAACAGAGAGGCGCCATCCACGAGCTCTGATTATCTGTAAATCAAATGTAATGAGATACAGTTTGTGCTAGGATTACACTTACACGACTCATACGAGACTCCCCAGGGAAAAGGGCAGAAGGAGCGGTTATTTTTACGGCCTCAGCGGAATACGAAGTGCGAGCTGCGTTAGAAATCGGCTCCCAGGACATTCCCGGGATTTAGGGTCGACGGCTAAGCAAGTGACCCATAAAATATCACGTATACGCAGGCCACATGGCCGCAGGAGGGCGCACGATGATGAACTAACACGGACATATGTTCGTGTGTGGATGCGTTTTTATGATTTGTGGCATAAGGCCCAAATACCGGCTGATTGTAAATCTATGCGGGCTTCAAGAACCGCCAACCCCCAGCAACCGCTATTGTGGTTACTCAGGCCTGAGTGAAGAAGCAGAGGAGGGAAATCGTTTAAAAGTATGTGTATTTGTATGTGGTGGAATGGGGCCAGGATGGATTATATTCGCCAGGGTCAAATCCTCTGCGGTTTTGCAAGCTGTCGCCTTCATCTTTAAACTTTAATGGCCAGCCAAAAGTTTTGGGCCGTGTCTAAGCTTTAGTCAACAAAGACTTGGGCACGTCGTGGCCACAGAGCCAGATGCTTCCGTTCTAGCAGAAAACGTCGTCCTTATCCCCACTCCCGCATCCACTCCCCTGTTCCTGGTTAATTCCCAGTACGTGTCCTGTTAGCGAAACGTTTTCCAAATATTTATTTATTATTTACTTCCGTCCACCTTCTGGTTTTGGCCTTTAAAAGTCCAGATAGGCGAAGTAACAATAAATAAACTAAAAATGTTGCAGGCGAAATTTGATTTAGCTGCTCTTTGACATCGGGTCTTAGTGGCTCTATTTATCTACGTGACGTTTTCGAGACTCTTTAGACAGATAACAACTGAAAGCTGTCAAACACGACGTATACTTAATATTAATTACTGCATGCAAGGAAAAATTGAGCGAAAAAATCTGGCATACACGAAATGTATGTACGTTAAAAGTTGAAGTATGTGCCGAATCGATAAGTATTGTATTGTTACAATAATAAATTCTTTGCACTTGTGGAAAAAATTATTTCCATCATTTCTGGGGATTTGCGTTTGTGAGCCACAAGCAAAGTTGAGTAATTCTCTAATTAAGTCATTAACTAAATTGCTTGAGCCCCTTTTTGCAGACTAATGTTCGAATCGTACTCCAAACTAAGCTAATTACGTGTTATATGCCAAAAAATCCTAATTGAGGGCTGTTGTTGCTGAAGGTGATTGATGTTTGGGAAAAACGTTTTTTTGGCCCAGTAAAAAACGCTTTAATAGCTTTTAAATGCTGTAATGGTAAACAAGAGTGCATATGCAATATGAACTTTCTGTTTCTTTAGTTCCTTCATTTTGCAGTATGTTACTTTACTCCCATTTTCTCGCAGTGCCAACACTTTCATTTATTGTAAGTGAAGGCCCAGACAGAAATCTAGGAATTCTTCACATGCATTGAGAGCGTAAACCATTCCCAACCACTTGCAATTAACACTAAAATTAATTCATATTAATTAAGGCTCTGGGCCAGGACCAAATGAGAACACACTTAATGCCTGGGGCTGTTAGCTTTTATGGGACTCAAATAGAATGAAGGCGGCCAGAAGCACTCCAGACTCCAGTCGAACAAATACTGACCTCAACAAGGCAAATGTAATAAATAAGAGAAAGGCACAACAAATTGGTTTGGGGGTAAATGGGCAAACCCTGACCAGACATAACAACATTCATTAATAAGCACAAACGAAATTGCTGCCCAGCTGGATATGGCTAGAAACCAAAAGGGAGAACAAGACCAACAAAAAATTAAAGCAACAAAGCGTAACGACAGCACGCATAATATTAATAACATTTAATAAGTTGCGGGAATCTGTAGCAAAATGGGTAGGGAAATGGCAAAAATGATTTCGTAATTATGATGGATTTTTTAAGCGTCCCAAATGTAAGCCAACATATTCAAAGCAGACCCTAATGAATACAATCCCAATTAGGCAAAATCTCTGCCATTAAACTAATTAAGCCACATTTAAAATATTTCTGTACCATCAAACAAACTGAAATATGATGGGAAACCTCGAAATTCCTTGGTATAAATAAGGGTAAACGTTTTGTGCCGCAACATTAACTATATAGAATTTCACACCTTTTTTGGTGTCAACTTGATTTGGAATTTCCCTTTGTTGCCCTTTGTTTCGCTGACAGTTGAACAGTTGTTACTGATGTCAAGTTGACATAAAGTTTTTCATAAAATG